TCTCTTGGCTGGTTGCCCAGCAACGCTTTTCCTGGTTTCTATGGCATCATGGAAGCTTTGAGTCGTAGAGACTGAAAGGGACGGTTTACCCCCACAGAGCTTTCTGTCAGTCTTCACCCACTGACGCGTTTCATTCTGAATTAGACCTGAAAGTGAGCTCCTAACTTCCTGTTGTATATGACATCACTGTAGTGAGCCCCTAACTTCCTGTTGTATATGACATCACTGTAGTGAGCCCCTAACTTCCTGTTGTATATGACATCACTGTAGTGAGCCCCTAACTTCCTGTTGTATATGACAACACTGTAGTGTGCCCCTAACTTCCTGTAGTGAGCCCTTAACTTCCTGTTGTGTATGACAACACTGTAGTTCACCTTGGTTTCACTTTCTACTTGATATGCAATTTCTAGCCGCTCGTGGTTTTCCATTACTTGGCCGTGTTCGGTGCCCCCTCATATCAGACATCGGTGATAAGAATCACATGGACTTTGATGCCATGATAATTACTGTCACGTTGTGAGGAATGTGAGGAGAGCAGCTTCTGTGGAGGACACCAGAGCCTCCATGGCTGCAGAACAGTTGGTGGTCCTCTGAGTGGTCTCTGCTGTGGAGGATTCCAGAACCTTTGTGGCTGCAGATCAGCTGGTGGGCCCCATGAGTGGTCTCTGCTGTGGAGGACTCCAGAGCCTCCATGGCTGCAGATCAGTTGGTGGGCCCAAGTGGTCTGTGCTGTGGACGACAGCAGAACCTACATGGCTGCAGATCAGCTGGTGGGCCCCATGAGTGGTCTCTGCTGTGGAGGACTCCTGAGCCTCCATGGCTGCAGAACAGCTGGTGGGCCAGTGAGCAGTCTCTGCTGTGGAGGACTTATGGCCACCAACTGTTCTGTAGCCATGGAGGCTCCAATAAGTCTCTGCTGTGGATGACTCCGGAGCCTCCATGGCTGCAGAACAGCTGGTGGGCCTGTGAGCGGTCTCTGATGTGGAGGACTCCAGAGCCTCCATGGCTGCAGAACAGCTGGTGGGCCTGTGAGCGGTCCCAGCGGGCTTTATGTAGAAGGATCTTTTTGTCTCTTCTCACCTTTCTGTATGAGAACGCGGGCGGTAACCTGACTCTGCAGCGGTGAGGAGCGGTGAGGAGTGTGGGCGTTGAGGCTCTTCCAGTTTCAGTTCTTGTCATGCAGGCCCGAGCTTTGTGCAGAGGCCTGCAGTAAATTCCTCAGCTCCTGGGACCGGGCCTGCACAATGCACCCTCCCGACTCGCAGCAATAACTACACTCCAACACTTGGGCAGCTGTAGAGGGGTTGAGGAACTACATGTCCCAGTGGGAGCTGCACGCTGGGCTTTGTAGTCCTCCGCAGATCAGATGAGCCGAGGAAGTGGTGAGGGGTTGGTGAGCAGACCGCACGGTGTTGCTGCTGCCAGCTGGGGCCCGCTGCGTCATTGCCAGGAAATCCTCCGACATGGAAACAGCTGAGACGTTGGCTAACTGTCTATGTGCCGCGCGCAGCAGATTCGGGAACTTCTTGCAGCTGGTGTGCGAGTTAAAGGGCCAGTCCTCCCCGGAAGCCACATTTTTACTTCTCACTGGAGCCCACTGGGCCGAACATGTAAAATCTCGGGTTTAGGTTGGTTGACTCTGTGATCCCTGGTCTGTAATTTGAAGGGCCTTCATCGTAGAGTTAAAGGAGAACTATGGGGTCAGGGCTTTTCCCCATAGTTCTCCTAAGGGTCACGGGAGGACACAAACTAGCGTCCTCCCGTCACCCTAGGCTCAGTATATAGGGAGCTGCAGCTCGCGGTATACTGAGACGCCGCAGCCGGGACGGATCCTGACATTACTGTCGAGATCCACCCAGCTGCGTGATTGACAGCTGGCTCTGCCTATCTAGAGGCAGAGCCAGCTGTTCCCACCCCCTCCACCGTCCGTTCTGCCAGTCAGCGCTGGAGGAGCGGGGAGGAGGGGAATCCCTGCAGGGAGCCGTGAGTGACAGTCACAGCTCTCTGCAGGGACAGTATCGAGAAGTGAGCGAACGACTGCATTGTCACAGGTCGGCTACAACTATGAGGCTGAGTGAAAATCACTCGCCTCATAGTTCTCCTTTAACCAACCGAAAACCAACATTTTTATGTTTATCGTGTAGAAAATATACAAAAATCTTTTTTTTAAAACCCCCAAATTTTCTCCCCATTTAAAGTGTTAGTAAAGGCGGGGGGCCGGTAAACGCCCTCCGGGCCCCCCTATGATAATTTCCGGTGGCAGGTGTGCGTTGCTCGGAGAGGAAGCAGATCCGGCAGATGACAATCTGTGTTTTGTCTTGTTTCTTTTCTTCTGACAACTGCGAGACAAAAACCGCAGAGATCCCCCGAGCGGACGCCGCCCCCCTCCCTCGCCCACTTCCAGTTTGTCTCTGTCCCCTCTAATTAGGGCCAATCCAGCCCGCCGCGGCACCGCTGGCACCTGTCAGCACTTTTCATGAACTGCTGGACTTTTACCTGCAGAGGCCCCTCATGGCAGTTCTCACTTTTTATGTTTTTCGTGTTTTGATTATTTTCAGACGTGTTCAGCGGCGCACTCCAGAGCCCTTGTAAGACCCCCGTGTACATTATGTTATACACGCCCTGCCTTTCATCTCCGCAGGAGGCGGGTTTTTGCGGCATAGCGGGATAAAACTACAACATGCCAGACGTTTATTATTTTTAATCCTCAATTGTCTGCGGCACCTGAACAGAGGTGGTGTGCGCATGTTATGTGTGAAGGTCACGACTTGTACAACAGGCCTAACCAGGCTCCTAACCAACATGGCGGCACACCCGTTCTCTAGCTCTGCCCATACACAAGGAAAACAATTGGTAATGGAGACCCTCCCTAGCCTTCTTTTATTGGGAACAGAGACCCTCAGTAGGCTTCTTCTCTTATTGGGAAAAGAGACCCTCAGTAGGCTTCTTCTCTTATTGGGAACAGAGACCCTCCCTAGCCTTCTTTTATTTTTTGAACAGAGACCCTCCGTAGGCTTCTGCTCTTATTGGGAACGGAGACCCTCCTTAGGCTTCTGCTCTTATTGGGAACAGAGACCCTCCCTAGCCTTCTTTTATTGGGAACAGAGACCCTCCTTAGGCTTCTGCTCTTATTGGGAATGGAGACCCTCCATAGACTTCTGCTCTTATTGGGTACTGAGACCCTCCATAGACTTCTGCTCTTATTGGGAACAGAGACCCTCCCTAGCCTTCTTTTATTGGGAACAGAGACCCTCCCTAGCCTTCTTTTATTGGGAACAGAGACCCTCCTTAGGCTTCTGCTCTTATTGGGAACGGAGACCCTCCATAGATTTCTGCTCTTATTGGGGGCAGTGACCCTCCATAGATTTCTGCTCTTATTGGGGGCAGTGACCCTCCATGGACCTCTGCTCTTATTGGGGGCAGTGACACTCCATGGACCTCTGCTCTCATTGGGAACAGAGTCCCTCTGTAGATTTCTGCTTATACAAGAAGTATGGAGACAAAGGAGGAAGGACAAACATGGGGTGGTTAATGGTTACATGGTGCACATCAGGACACCCCAGCATAGGGGCTGTATGTCTGAATAGATAGGGGGGGTGGAGGTGTGCATGTGCTGCGGGGGAAGGGGGCATTTGAATACCCCGGCACACAAAGGCCGCAATCTCCTGGTGTAATGCCGGAGTTAATTGGGGCTGTGCATGCCTCCCATCTGCTCTGTCTCTGCTGTCTAGGAAGGCCGGGGTCCTGAGTGCACGTGCTGCTGTGAATGGCCTGAATAGGCCCTTTATGCATGCTGCCACACTTGTCTCGGCTGATTCAGGCTGACAGCTGTTGGGAGGCCTGCATTGGACATATGGCCCCGGCCCGCAGCTAACAAAAGTGTCCATTTGCATACAGGTGGAGTGAATGGAGCTGCTGCTTGTGTTCAGACTCTTCAGTGGGGAGAGACGGGACAAAGAGTCTTTTGTTCCGGGGATTTTCTCTAATGTTTAATCTGTTTTTCTTCTCCTTATCTAGCTGTCATGTGACATTAAAGATTAAATCCCTCTCCGGTATCCCTTGTATGTCCCCATGGACCAACATTTTATCACCTGTAACATTCCAAGAACTCCCTGCCCCCGCCCCCGTTCAGAATTCACCTTTGTGTCTGATGGCCTCCTGTCACTTTCGTGTTTAGGTGATTGATTTGTATTTATTAACTTCAAAGATGCATATGATAGTCTGTTAAGCTTGGGTCCCCATTCTTTTGGAGGTTTAGCTTGGGTCCCCATTCTTTTGAAGGTCTAGCTTGGGTCCCCATTCTTTTGGAGGTTTAGCTTGGGTCCCCATTCTTTTGAAGGTTTAGCTTGGGTCCCCATACTTTTGAAGGTCTAGCTTGGGTCCCCATACTTTTGATGGTTTAGCTTGGGTCCCCATTCTTTTGAAGGTCTAGCTTGGGTCCCCATACTTTTGATGGTTTAGCTTGGGTCCCCATTCTTTTGAAGGTCTAGCTTGGGTCCCCATTCTTTTGAAGGTTTAGCTTGGGTCCCCATTCTTTTGGAGGTTCAGCTTGAGTCCCCATTCTTTTTAAGGTCTAGCTTGGGTCCCCATGCTTTTAAAGGTTCAGCTTGGGTCCCCATGCTTTTGAAGGTTCAGCTTGGGTCCCCATTCTTTTTAAAGGAGAACTATGGGGTCAGTGTTTTTCCCCATAGTTCTCCTTAGGGTAACGGGAGGACACAAACTAGCGCCCTCCCGTTACCCTAAGCTCAGTATACCGCGAGCTACACCTGGAGCGGTTCCCGACGTAGATGACGGGATCCGCCCAGCTGCGTGAGTGACAGCTGGCTCTGCCTATCTAGAGGCAGAGCCAGCTGTACCCGCCCCCTCCCCCGTCCGTTCCGCCAGTCAGCGCTGGCAGATCGGAGCGGGGAGAGGGGAATCCAGCCCCTCCCCCTGTCACGGCAGAGAGCCGTGACAGGATCGAGAGGTGAGCGAACGCCAGTATGTGTTCCCTCACCTCCCGATCTACTGAGCCGACCTGTGACGGTCTCATTGTCACAGGTCGGCTTAGAACTATGAGGTGAGTGAAAAGCACTCATCTCATAGTTCTCCTTTAAGGTCTAGCTTGGGTCCCCATTCTTTTGAAGGTCTAGCTGAGGTCCCCATTCTTTTGAAGGTCTAGCTTGGGTCCCCATGCTTTTGGAGGTTTAGCTTGGGTCCCCATTCTTTTGAAGTTTTAGCTTGGGTCCCCATTCTTTTGAAGGTTTAGCTTGGGCCCCCATTCTTTTGAAGGTTCAGCTTGGGTCCCCATTCTTTTGAAGGTCTAGCTTGGGTCCCCGTTCTTTTGAAGGTCTAGCTTGGGTCCCCGTTCTTTTGAAGGTCTAGCTTGGGTCCCCATTCTTTTGAAGGTTTAGCTTGGGTCCCCATTCTTTTGAAGGTTTAGCTTGGGTCCCCATTCTTTTGAAGGTTTAGCTTGGGTCCCCATTCTTTTGAAGGTTTAGCTTGGGTCCCCATTCTTTTGAAGGTTTAGCTTGGGTCCCCATTCTTTTGAAGGTTTAGCTTGGGTCCCCATTCTTTTGAAGGTTTAGCTTGGGTCCCCATTCTTTTGAAGGTTTAGCTTGGGTCCCCATTCTTTTGAAGGTTTAGCTTGGGTCCCCATTCTTTTGAAGGTTTAGCTTGGGTCCCCATTCTTTTGAAGGTTTAGCTTGGGTCCCCATTCTTTTGAAGGTTTAGCTTGGGTCCCCATTCTTTTGAAGGTTTAGCTTGGGTCCCCATTCTTTTGAAGGTTTAGCTTGGGTCCCCATTCTTTTGAAGGTTTAGCTTGGGTCCCCATTCTTTTGAAGGTTTAGCTTGGGTCCCCATTCTTTTGAAGGTTTAGCTTGGGTCCCCATTCTTTTGAAGGTTTAGCTTGGGTCCCCATTCTTTTGAAGGTTTAGCTTGGGTCCCCATTCTTTTGAAGGTTTAGCTTGGGTCCCCATTCTTTTGAAGGTTTAGCTTGGGTCCCCATTCTTTTGAAGGTTTAGCTTGGGTCCCCATTCTTTTGAAGGTTTAGCTTGGGTCCCCATTCTTTTGAAGGTTTAGCTTGGGTCCCCATTCTTTTGAAGGTTTAGCTTGGGTCCCCATTCTTTTGAAGGTTTAGCTTGGGTCCCCATTTTTTAAGGTTAGGCTTAGATCCCCATCCTTTGTGGTTAGGCTTGGGTCCCCATCCTTTGTGGTTTAGGGTTAGGTCCCCATCCATTTGGCAGTTAGGCCTAGCTGCCCATCCATTTGGTGGTTAGGCCTAGCTGCCCATCTTTTAGAAGCCTACGCTTTAGTCCCCATCCTACTTTTTTGGTAACCTGCAATATTGTAGCCAAAACTAAATTTGGTGAAAGCTAAAATAATCATTTTAATAGCATTCGCCATCGTATTGTAGGCGTAGCGGGGCACTAGTGTATGCATCCATTGGCTCACTGCCTCAGCCAGAGGTTTGCACAGAGGCCCAGCTACTAGGTGCCTGTTGTATAGCATATGACATTCCCAGCAATGGAATGCTGGTAGTTTCATGAGGGGAATTGTGCAAATTGGGGTTACAGTACAGGCACGTCATCCAACTTGCACTCATTCTAAAAGGTTTTGGCAGGTATTGGCCTGTATTTGTGTTCACCTGGAGGGAACGTGTGCTCTTCCCGTCATGTTTACGATGGTAAATAGCAGAGTCAGATAATCCACTGCAACCACTCCGGTCATGTTTTCGTTGTTCGGTTACAAAGTTTACTCATCGTCTCTGTTCTCTGGTGTCGTTCCTCTTTCATGTGTGCGGCCGGATCGTCTTTTGTTTCCTATTTGCAGAGTGTAAAAATACAGACAGGAAGTGTTGTTGTTCCAGCTGCAGCGTCTAACGCTCTCTTCTTCCTTCCTTGCAGCTTCGAGAAGACTATTTTTGAAAGCCGAATCCCAAACAATGAGTAAGTACGGTGGGTCGGGGCACGCGGGGCGGCACACTTCATTAGGCCGGGAGGAAGGGGTTTATTTTGGGAACTGGATGTTGTTTTGGGAGACTTGTGGAAAACTTTCAGTTCTCATTCAAGCTAATGGTATCCCATCCAAGCTTTCAGACTTGCTGTACTTTCCTGGCGTGCTGTAATCCTAATCCTTGTGGGAAAGACATAAGGGTGGGGGGACGGTAGTCAGATATAGACCCTCATTGTTCTGAAGATATTATGGATATTATGTAGCATAGTAAAGCCTTCATAGAGCCGAAGGTATTCGCATGTCTCATTCCATCACATATCCCAAAATAAGAGGACAATTCCTCATTTCAAGGCAGTGGGTGGAGCCATGCAAATTATTTCTTTATGTCCCGTAAGCACATGGAGAACCGCTGTTATATAGTTCAAATATAGCATCTACGGGGTTGGGCTTGGCACTATGGGGTTGGGCTTGGCATCTATAGAGTTGGGCTTGGCATCTATGGAGTTTGGCTTGGAACCCAACAAAATGGTATCACCACAGAAGTCATGATGAGAAGGGACTAAAGAAATAAAAAGGCCCTTCAACTAAATTAAAGTGTAGCACAGTAGAAGCTTCTTAGAACAGAAGGTATTCACATGTCTCATTCCATCACATAGCCCAGAAATAAGCAGATTACACCTCATTTCAGGACAATGGAAGGAGCCATGCATATCATTGCTTTATACCTCATCAGCCAAACGCACACCCAGAACCGCTGCTGTATATTTTAAATACGGCATCTATGGCAGTTGGGCTTGACCTCTATGGGGTTGGGCTTGACCTCTATGGGGTTGGGCTTGGCATCTATGGGGTTGGGCTTGACCTATGGGGTTGGGCTTGACCTCTATGGGGTTGGGCTTGACCTCTATGGGGTTGAGCTTGACCTCTATGGGGTTGGGCTTGACCTCTATGGGGTTGGGCTTGGCCTCTATGGGGTTGGGCTTGGGCTTGGCCTCTATGGGGTTGGGCTTGGCCTCTATGGGGTTGGGCTTGGGAACCCAACAAGACAGCATAACTATACAGGTCATGGCGAGAAGAGACTAAAGGTATCAAAAAGCCCTCCGACTCAATCAGCCTGTAGCACTGATTGGGCTGGAGGGCTTCTTGATTCCTTTAGTCCCTTCTCACAATGACCTCAATGGTTATACTATCTTGATATTAGGTTTAATTAACAGTGCCACCTCAGCCGAAACTTTTCTTACACTTTAGGATACAGTCGGGAAGAGTTATAATCTCTGTCATCTTTTGTTATGTCTTTGGCCCTGTTGGGGTGATTGACTCTACTGGTGACCATTGTCACCAGGACAAAATGTGAGGGGATATCCAAAATTTGACAGCTGTCCCCATCATGGGTATTGTTGAGGTGATTGGCTCTACTGGTGACCATTGTCACCAGGACAAAATGTGAGGGGATAGTCAAAATTTGACCGCTGTCCCCATCATAGGACAGTTGGGGTGATTGACTCTACTGGTGACCAATGTCACCAGGACAAAATGTGAAGGGATATCCAAAATGTGACAGCTGTCCCCATCATGGGTATTGTTGAGGTGATTGACTCTACTGGTGACCATTGTCGCCAGGACAAAATGTAAAGGGATACCCAAAATTTGACAGCTGGGCCCCATAATAGGAATGTAGGAGATATCTATGAACGGGAACACTGGTTCCAGTGACAACTACCACCATTGGGATTTCCACTTATCTTGGATAGATTTTCTCACATCCTGTTGTGTCTTCAGTACAGAAAGAGAAAATCTCCCCAATGGGGACACATCAGAAACTGACAAAAGCCCTAAAATGAGAAGTGTTAAGATTGGGAGTCTCCTCTGGCCAAAAACCACCAGTTTGACATGCTTGCTGTAATGTTGTCCATACTTGAACAATGGACGTGGGCCATGATGTGATTGCACAAATACTACGTGATAACCGTTCACAAAACAATACGTTTTATTTATTTTTATTCTCTCATTACTTTTGCAGCTTCAAACTGCCTCTGAGAAGAAGACAGTCACTGCCGGTGAGTAAATTGATTAGTTATCATGTTGCTGTGAAGCCATATGCTGGCCCTCTGCTATCAGATCCCTTCTCAGATATGGCCGTAATCTGGTAACCTCTGCCGGCAGATCCCACCATAAAAGAGACACCATTTGGGTCTGGCCAGGGTCAGAGATAACTTGCAGATTACTCCCAGCCAGTTCACTTCCTGTCCTCTCTGATCTCAGTCTGACGGCTCTGCTTGTTCTTGTGTTTTATAGGTAACACTTCTTGGGGGCAGCCCAGCCCTGAGAAAACTTTCCAGCACCTCAGACCTGGATTTTGCCAGCCCCCTTGAAAGCAGCCCTGCCACCCCGGACAACAAGGAGAATGTAAGTGATACTGTTGGGGTATGGGGATTTGGGGGGTCTATAGATACAGAAATAACCCTATAGAGGACTCCTATTGATCTCTCTGTGGTAGGATTACCAGCCCAGGAGCTGATTGGTTCAGTTCTGGGACTTGGAGGTGACCCCAGCTGGGCCCAACTCAGAGACTGGATGCCGTTTTAAAATGGTCATTCAAGCTCCATTGCTGTTGTAAAACTACACTTGCCACTCAAGTGGGAATGGACATTGGTTTTATTTAAATGTTTTTATCCTTAAAGTACATACCCAGGCGTGCTCCTAAAGCTCTCTCTTCCACTCTAAAGCATGTCCCAGCATTCATTTTGTTTTTTTCTGTAACGTTGCCCTTTTGGAAGAAATGGTTTTTATTACTCCCTGTAACATCATCGCCAGGCTTGTAAAATTCTTGCAGGGGCAACTGCTGGCAGGTCTATTTATCATAGAAACTCCCCCAGGTCTACATCTCCCAAGAGCCCTTTCCCTAAACCTAGTGTGTGGTCAGGTTCTTGGAAGTCCAGGCAGAATGTTTATTGATTGCTGCGGGTTACTTCACAAGACCGGGACTATTACATAAGACTAATAATGATTTATTTTTTTTCCTTTTGACTTCTGCAGGAAGTTTTTCTGTTCAAGAGGCCATTTGTATGTGCAACGTACCAGTTCCCCCGTCGCAGGGATGAAACCTTCAAGTCGCGCCCAAATTCTGCCCCGACTCTCATGGTGAGTGTCCTTGCCCCTTCCCTTTCCTGCAGTGACGACGAAGACTCCACGTTTAGATGATTTACCTCCCTTTTTTTTTTATTATTCGGCAGTTTTCTCCGGAAAGGAGCGAGTGTCAGGTAGACGACGAGAGCCCCGTCCGCCTGCGCAAGTCCTCCCTGACCTTCTCTCTGAATGGCGACGATGACGACGGCTTCATGGACATTATCGATGACGAGGATGGGAAGGTAAGAAACGCTTTTATGTTGGAGCGGTTTTGTAAATCCATGGCACGGATGGAATGGGTTAAAAGGAAACACGGGATACAATAACTTTATTGAAACAATTAGAAACCACGAACAGATTTTTTATCGCCTGTGTATAAAACTTCCCATTAACATAACCGACAACATTGCAAATCCATGCTGATGAGTTGTCACATGTCCTTTCCTCCTACATCTACCCACTGCTTCACATTGGCAGTTGAGCGCGGTGACTATTGGATGTCCGTGAAATTGAACTTGATAATGGTGGCAAATACAGTTTTCAATGGAGTGCCGTTTGATCAGAGCGTGCTCGCCATGTGTGTAAGGCCTGGTTCACACCTGGGCGTTTTGTAGCGCGTTCGAACGCTCTGCAAAACGCTCAAACACCAAAATCCCATTATTTCCTATGGGTATGGTTCACACCTGGGGGCGTATTACAGGCCGTATGAACGCGCTACAAAACGTCCTACGCCCAAAGAAGTACAGGAGCTTCTTTGGGGCGTTTTTGTTGGGCGTTTCCATTGGGATACAGCCCAGTAGCCCACGGAAACGGGCGTTTGTCGCGTTTTTTTTTTAACCGCGAACCGCGGTAAAAACGCGCGTCACGAAACGCGCGACAAAGGCGCATATTCTATACGCCTAGGTGTGAACCCAGCCTAACTCCTACAGATGGTCTAGACCCTTGGTTCTCAACTGGTAGGCAGTGACCCAAAAGTGGGTTGCGACCCTGTGTTTAGTGGGTCGCGGGCATGCCTTCCACTTTTCCAGGCGAGAGGCTCCTCAACCTTCTCCTAGAGCAGCACTATCAGTTCTCTCGCCACACGGCCATTCAAAATATGCCACCCGGTACCGAGTGTCAGATTGAGGTGGGCTGGGGGTATGGCTGCGAGGGAGCTCCTCCCATACATGCATTGCTTACAGCTCCCTCACATGTGTCCTGTAGAAGTACCTGGACCGGAGTGACGTCACATTCTGGCTCCCGGCACCTCTACAGGGCACGCAAGGGAGCTGTACAAGCAATGCACGTATTGATGAAGCTTCATCACAGCACAGCAGCCCACACTGGACCCCAGGCTGAGGATCTGCTCCAGTTCTCGGAAGGTATGGAGACTGGGTGGATCTTGTTTTTACATTGTCTGTGTGTGAGATTGTGTCTGGTTGTGTATGTATGTCAGTGTTTTTGAGGGCCCATTCACACTAGTACCGTGCGATTAACAAACGCTAACATGCAATCACACCTACCGTGCATTCTGGTGTGGGAGGTGTGTTGCGTTGCCATTCATTTGAAGGGTACCCCAAACGCACCTCCCACCCACACCCCCGCATCGTAACGCACGGTACCCAATGCCGTGCGGCTTGGGTAGCGACTTAACGTCCAAGGACAAATGTGGCTCCTGAGATTACACAGGTTGAGAACCGCTGCTCTAGACTTCGTACAATGTCCTATGCTAGAATTTTTAGTCTTCCGGCCACTTATGTTTACCTTTCCCCTTTCAGACTGAGCCAAACCTGCCGACCGGCATGGAGTACCTGCTGACCGCACCGCTGAAGCAAGACGATGCTGTAAGTCCCCGCTACAGTTCATGCTAATAACTCTTTCACGTGCGCTGTAAGAATTGGCCGCACTAGACGTCATTGGGCTGAGAGGGGGAAAGTGTTGAGTGAGATATGACTATTTAGAAGGGATGTTTCCATTACGGGTGGTGTCTGGTAAGCGGAATTGTGGGTGAGATCTTCCACCTTTTTATAAATTCCAGTCTTGTAGCTGAATCCAGAGGATGGCAATAGCAGTGTGTATGGAAGTGTCACTTTGTAACCGTGTCGTTTATTTATTTTTCCTTGCCCGTGCCAGGATTTGGTGATCAGGAGCAAATGTCGCCGCCTCTTCCGCTCGCCCTCTATGCCCAGCACGGTGATCCGACCCATCCTGAAACGCCTGGACCGGCCAGATGACGAGGAGACGCCGGTGAAATCTAAGCGGCACAAAAACCTGAGCTCGGCCTGTGCCGGTGACGAGGAGCTGGTGATGGAGGAGCCGGTACGTGTGTCTCAGGGATTGTTACCTGTAACTCGGAGGGTGCAAATCCCATATGACTAGGTGCTTCGGCATGCTGGAACATGCAGACCTCATGCAAGTAATGCCCTGGCCGGGATTTTGATCCCAGCACCCCAGTGCTATCCACTCAGCCATTGTACTGCAATTCCCTTTCACATACTAAATGCAAATAGCTAACTAGACCTTTGAGGGGTGTGTGTGTGTGCGTCAGTGTGCGTGCGTCAGTGTGCCAAAGGATTTGTAATTCTGTTTAGCCAGTCTTGTGATTCGTGCACTTCTGCCAAATGGCAATGGAGATTTCTCGTCTACTGGTTGGTTCAGCCCTCCTCCTTGCTTATTGGATGGAGCAGATGCTGCTGTTTTGTTGTCCAATGAGCAGTCTGCAGGCAGAGAGGTGACATAAGAAGCTATATAGCTGAACCAAGTAATAAATATGCCACCTCAGGGCCGGCCCGAGGGGTACGCAGAAGAGGAGGTCACCCTCCTAGCAGGAGGGGGGCGCAAAAATGGCAGGACCTGCAGTGTGTGGCCAAAGTAGCTCATGGTGGGGGTACACTTTTTACCTTGGGTGCTGAAGGAACTTTCTCCCGACTCTGTCGCCTGCCTAAATGTACTTTGCGGCACTTTGTGAAACCCAAAACCGGCTGAACAGAATGAAAATCGTAAACATTTTGCTTTTTTTCTGTTTTCTGAAGTTTTACTTTTTTAGCTCTGGTCACGATCCTTTAGAACATTGAATTCATTTACTATCTTCTATTCATTGCAGAAAATGAAACTGGGTCGGTCCAAGTCTCTGTGCCTTACGACGGTTGAACAGATCCTGGACAGTGACCAGAGGGACTTGATTGGCGATTCCTCTAAGGTGAGTTGACATGAACAGAAGTATGGTGGGCATGGGGTGGGGGGTCTGTAAGGTCCTCTTGGGAATTTAGATACCACGGCTCTGTCAAGTGACATCAATTTCCAGCTGGTAGTCTGAGTTTGTCTTTCCACCCCCACTGTGACCACCGTGATAACCTTAAGGTCATGAAAAGAGCATGAGAGTATGACGCATGTGAACATCCGCATTGGGAGCTCACACACGTGTGTGTTTGTAGTGTAAGGTGGCTGACGCGAGGATGTCTACATCATGGTGGCTGTAGGCCAACCATCCCCACAGTGTAGATCTATGGTGGGGTGGGGTTACCCCTTGCAGGTTCTACAGGTCAGGACAGCTTCTCTTGTGCATGTATTGATGATGAACTCTTGTATCTTACAGACATACCTGTTGAAGACGGTAGCGGGTAGACACCAGGACCTGAAGTATATCACTCCAGAAATGGTGAGTTATGACACTGCCGCATCATCCTATTGTGTCCTGTGACCCGATGAGGCCCGGTCCCGCTACAGAAGTACTGCAGTCCAGGTTGCAGTGCTTGCTGGGTAGTACTAATGGCTCCCTGAATGCTTCCAGTTGTTGCCAGGAATTGCTGTTTTAACATTTTCCCTTCTTCTGATCAGATGGAGGATGTGCTGAGCGGGAAGTTCAGGGATCGCATTGAGCGCTGCGTCATTGTAGATTGCCGATACCCGTACGAATATGAGGGTGGTCACATCAAGGTAAGTGGCGGCTACCACTTGAGGGGATTCCAGGGTAATAATGTGTTGGTAGCAGGTTCTGATGGGGGTTCTGTAGTATTAATGTGTTGGTAGTGGGCTCTGGAGGAGGTTCTGTAGTAATGTTGTGGTAGTGGGCTCTGGAGGGGGTTCTGTAATAATGTGTTGGTAGTGGGCTCCGGAGGGGGTTCTGTAATAATGTGTTGGTAGTGGGCTCTGGAGGGGGTTCTGTAGTATTAATGTGTTGGTAGTGGGCTCTGGAGGGGCTTCTGTAATAATGTGTTGGTAGTGGGCTCTGGAGGGGGTTCTGTAGTATTAATGTGTTGGTAGTGGGCCCTGGAGGGGGTTCGGTGGTGTAAATGTTGGTAGTGGGCCCTGGAGGGGGTTCGGTGGTGTAAATGTTGGTAGTGGGCCCTGGAGGGGGTTCGGTGGTGTAAATGTTGGTAGTGGGCCCTGGAGGGGGTTCGGTGGTGTAAATGTTGGTAGTGGGCCCTGGAGGGGGTTCGGTGGTGTAAATGTTGGTAGTGGGCCCTGGAGGGGGTTCCGTGGTGTAAATGTTGGTAGTGGGCTCTGGAGAGGGTTCTGTAGTAATGTATTGGTAGTGGGCTTTGGAGGGGGTTCTGTAGTAATGTTGTGGTAGTGGGCTCTGGAGGAGGTTCTGTAGTAATGTGTTGGTAGTGGGCTCTGGAGGGGGTTCTGTAGTAATGTGTTGGTAGTGGGCTGTGGAGGGGGTTCGGTGGTGTAAATGTTGGTAGTGGGCTCTGGAGGTGGTTCTGTAGTATTACTGTGTTGATATTGGGCTCTGGAGGGGGTTCCATAGTGATGGTGTTGGTTTTTCATGGAATGTTTCTGTTTTAGGGGGCGGTAAATCTCCCGCTGGAGAAGGATGTGGAGGAATTCCTCCTGAACAGGCCAATCGTCCCGAGCAGCGAAGACAAAAGGGTCATCATTATCTTCCACTGTGAATTCTCCTCGGAGCGGGGGCCACGCATGTAAGTTCATGTTGCAGCTGTGAAAAGTTCCTTCACCCAATGTCCCATGGATAAAGCTAACTAAAGCTGAACCCAACTTCCCTACCTGTGTGCTTACTGTGCAAAATGAAAAATACCTTTAAAAAAAAAAAAAAAGTTTGAGCTTCAGATAAATAGCGAAATACACAGAAAATGTTCATAATGAGCCCGTTTTACCTGTCCGATGATTTGTATTTCTGTCCATCTGTCTTGTGTGTCTACATTGCCTTAGGGTTGTGATTTGACTTCCATCTTCTAACCTTCATCTTGGTGTCCTCCCACAGGTGCCGCTTTATTAGAAAACAGGACAGGAACAGCAACGAGTACCCGAAACTTCATTACCCGGAATTGTACATACTGAAGGGGGGCTACAAGGAGTTCTTCCCCAGCTATCAGGTCAGTTTATAGAAGGAAAGGTCGGGAGCACCAATCTTACCCAAATCTGCCGACCTTCCCTACAAATATAGACCAAATCTATCTCTAGGTGATACCCATTTCCATTTGGATAGGGCCGGGAGGAATTAGAACCTCCCTTTGGGAGACTTCTTTTAACGCCTTCCCGATGTCATCACTCATATTTGTCACCCTGACGGGCCGGTCTTCATGCTGGCTGTACTCATCACCTTTCATCATCCCGTGGAGTCACGAGGGGGCCCAACGAAGTACTGATGGGGCGGTCATAATAATCTGGCCACTCAGTGTGTATATGTGTCAACTGGCCCACTGTTCGGCGCTGAGAGTGCACACCTAGCAAAGTGACCGAGCTGTCACAGACAGCTCACAGTCATTACCGTGTTTCCCCGAAAATAAGACACTCTTATATTTTTTTGGCCTCAAAAAAACACACTAGGTCTTATTTTCGGGGTAGGTCTTATTTTTTTATTTTTTCTAATGTATGACAACCCAAAGTTACATACATTGCTATGTCTAGCGTGTGATGTCCTCCCTGGTACTGTAGGCTGTTCAGTCCTATGTCTAGCGTGTGATGACCTCCCATGTACTGTAGGCTGTTCCGTCCTATGTCTAGCGTGTGATGACCTCCCATGTACTGTAGGCTGTTCCGTCCTATGTCTAGCGTGTGATGACCTCCCATGTACTGTAGGCTGTTCCGTCCTATGTCTAGCGTGTGATGACCTCCCATGTACTGTAGGCTGTTCCGTCCTATGTCTAGCGTGTGATGACCTCCCATGTACTGTAGGCTGTTCCGTCCTATGTCTAGCGTGTGATGACCTCCCATGTACTGTAGGCTGTTCCGTCCTATGTCTAGCGTGTGATGACCTCCCATGTACTGTAGGCTGTTCCGTCCTATGTCTAGCGTGTGATGACCTCCCATGTACTGTAGGCTGTTCCGTCCTATGTCTAGCGTGTGATGACCTCCCATGTACTGTAGGCTGTTCCGTCCTATGTCTAGCGTGTGATGACCTCCCATGTACTGTAGGCTGTTCCGTCCTATGTCTAGCGTGTGATGACCTCCCATGTACTGTAGGCTGTTCCGTCCTATGTCTAGCGTGTGATGACCTCCCATGTACTGTAGGCTGTTCCGTCCTATGTCTAGCGTGTGATGACCTCCCATGTACTGTAGGCTGTTCCGTCCTATGTCTAGCGTGTGATGACCTCCCATGTACTGTAGGCTGTTCCGTCCTATGTCTAGCGTGTGATGACCTCCCATGTACTGTAGGCTGTTCCGTCCTATGTCTAGCGTGTGATGACCTCCCATGTACTGTAGGCTGTTCCGTCCTATGTCTAGCGTGTGATGACCTCCCATGTACTGTAGGCTGTTCCGTCCTATGTCTAGCGTGTGATGACCTCCCATGTACTGTAGGCTGTTCCGTCCTATGTCTAGCGTGTGATGACCTCCCATGTACTGTAGGCTGTTCCGTCCTATGTCTAGCGTGTGATGACCTCCCATGTACTGTAGGCTGTTCCGTCCTATGTCTAGCGTGTGATGACCTCCCATGTACTGTAGGCTGTTCCGTCCTATGTCTAGCGTGTGATGACCTCCCATGTACTGTAGGCTGTTCCGTCCTATGTCTAGCGTGTGATGACCTCCCATGTACTGTAGGCTGTTCCGTCCTATGTCTAGCGTGTGATGACCTCCCATGTACTGTAGGCTGTTCCGTCCTATGTCTAGCGTGTGATGACCTCCCATGTACTGTAGGCTGTTCCGTCCTATGTCTAGCGTGTGATGACCTCCCATGTACTGTAGGCTGTTCCGTCCTATGTCTAGCGTGTGATGACCTCCCATGTACTGTAGGCTGTTCCGTCCTATGTCTAGCGTGTGATGACCTCCCATGTACTGTAGGCTGTTCCGTCCTATGTCTAGCGTGTGATGACCTCCCATGTACTGTAGGCTGTTCCGTCCTATGTCTAGCGTGTGATGACCTCCCATGTACTGTAGGCTGTTCCGTCCTATGTCTAGCGTGTGATGACCTCCCATGTACTGTAGGCTGTTCCGTCCTATGTCTAGCGTGTGATGACCTCCCATGTACTGTAGGCTGTTCCGTCCTATGTCTAGCGTGTGATGACCTCCCATGTACTGTAGGCTGTTCCGTCCTATGTCTAGCGTGTGATGACCTCCCATGTACTGTAGGCTGTTCCGTCCTATGTCTAGCGTGTGATGACCTCCCATGTACTGTAGGCTGTTCCGTCCTATGTCTAGCGTGTGATGACCTCCCATGTACTGTAGGCTGTTCCGTCCTATGTCTAGCGTGTGATGACCTCCCATGTACTGTAGGCTGTTCCGTCCTATGTCTAGCGTGTGATGACCTCCCATGTACTGTAGGCTGTTCCGTCCTATGTCTAGCGTGTGATGATCTCCCTTGTACTGTAGGCTGTTTCTAACATCTGTCCTCCATCTTGCCCATAGACGCACTGCGAGCCTCAGGCTTACCGCCCCATGGACCACAAGGACTTCAAAGAACACCTGAAGCTTTTCCGCAGCAAGAGCAGGACTTGGGCCGGCGACAAGAGCAAGCGGGAAATGTACAACCGTCTTAAGAACCTATAGCGACCCACCAACCAAGGTCACGGACTTCAGACAGAGCAGGTCCCTATGTTTCCACCAACACAACACGCAGGTGTCTCCACAGATGGAGCGATGGCCGGGCTGGCCAGGATCATAAGATGGTCAGCAAGGAATTCTGGGTCATCAAGTGCGGAGTTACTACTCCAGGAATTTTGTGAAGGCCTTTGTATGGCAGCCTTTGTATGGCAGCCTTTGTATGGCAGCATTGTCCTCTACACAGAGGAGGAGAACCTGGACGACCAGCACAGATAATCCTAGGAGGAGGCCCGGTCCTTTACGGAACGCATCATCAGTGGGGACACCAATCTGTATTTTACTACAGCGGACTGACTTCTTCAGGGAGAACACACTTGAAAACGTATTCACCTCGTACTTTATTTTCCCCTGGAGGCTAAACCCAAAAGAAATACAGAAGACTTAAAGGGTTAGTCCACTGGTCAAGGTGCCTCACTCTTGCCATGGATACCTTCCATGAGAACAAAGCTGGAAGATCTTTCCATGGATCCCATCAGTAACTGAGCTGCCAACTTTGAGTGGACTGACCCTTTAAGATGCAGTTGTGCATTAGAGCAGAGCATTATGTGTCGTGTGTGTGTGTGTGTATGTTTTGTGGTGCGCGTTTTGTACTGTTGCACTTGCACTTTTTTTTTTTCAGGCTGTCGGCGGCCTCTCCAACCTTGCACGATCCCTCTGTCCGCAGAGGCCAATCAGATACTGCCACCCGCCGCCATGACCCCGCCCCTTTCCCCAGCGCATAGCCGCTAAATATGTGCCCACCCCTCCCCCACAGAATAGTTTTATTTTTTGGCCCAGACGGCAGTTTTATCATTTTATATAAAATCCAGATTTTCTGATACTTTGTACTTTTTTTTTTGCTTTGATTCACTTTTTCGTACTCTACGCTTTTATAGATCCTGGCAAAAATCAGGTGACAAATTCTATTTCTGGGTGTTGTATGTGCGGGAATACACATGGAGGGGGATTTAACAAAACTGGAGCAGCCGCGCACGGCAACCAATCGGCTTCTCTCTTTCATTTTTTCATCTTAACTGAACAAACTGAAGAGAGAAGCTGATTGGTTGTCATGGGCGACTGCTCCCGATTTTATACGTTCCCCCCTATGTGTTATTATAGACAGAGATGTATCTTTTATATATGGAAGTCCGGTTTCGGATTTTGTTCGTATTACGGTAGCAGGACTCGCCGGGTGTGAGGTCGGATGATGGGAGTCACCCAGGCGGGTCACTGACGTGTTTGCTAAAGGTGATTCCAAATCAGGAACTGCCGGGAGATATCTGTGTACATTTCCCGGCCCAGAGCCGGTGGACTGAATGGGAAGTCACCTTCTGCATAAACGTACAAAGACAACCCGACCTACAGAGCCGGCCTGGGACAGTCTCATTGTCACACGTCGGCTCCAACTATGAGGATGAGGGATTTTCACCCGCCTCGTAGTTCTCCTTTAAGGCAGCAATATTGTGTTGCTGGGAAAGGAATCAATGGAGAGACAGAGAGGGGTAAAGGGATAGGCAGAGTTCTGAAGGCTGACAACGCTGCTTGAGATTTCAGTGCAACAAAAGCACGGTGTTGTCAGCCCAAACAGGAAGTTTGGAACGCACTGCATTTTATTTAGTTAAATATAAAGAAAAGAAAATGCAAAAAAAAAACCCTTACAGCCGACCTTTGCCCATATCTTTAAAATGACAACAAATACAACTTTAGAAATGTTTAGTAATGACAATCTACAGGTACTTTTAGATAATTGCCGGCTTTGTATTTGTTACATATCTTTTTCTTTTCCTCCCCAGTCTTCTCACAGTCGCCATTATATGAATCATTAAAGGAGAACTATGGGGTCAGGGCTTTTCCCCATAGTTCTCCTTAGGGTAACGGGAGGACACAAACTAGCGTCCTCCCGTTACCCTAAGCTCAGTATACCGCGAGCTACAGCTCATAGTATACTGAGACGCTGAAGCGGATCCCGACAATTATGTCTGGATCCGCCCAGCTGTGTAAGTGACAGCTGGCTCGGCCTATCTAGAGGCAGAGCCAGCTGTACCCGCCCCCTCCCCCGTCCGTTCCGCCAGTCAGCGCTGGAGAATCGGAGCGGGGAGAGGGAAATCCAGCCCCTCCCCTGTCACGGCTCTCAGCAGTGACAAGATCGAGAAGTGAGTGAACGCCGGTATGTGTTCGCTCACCTCCCGATCTACTGAGCCGACCTGTGACAGTCTCATTGTCACAGGTCGGCTGGAACTATGAGGTGAGTGACAATCACTCACCTCATTGTGCTCCTTTAATATTTCTCCCTTTACTTCCTGGACCTCTGGTACATGTGACTAGGACATGTGACCATGCACATCATCTCAGGGGAGGAAAATGCCTTTCCCTGAGATCTCATGAGATTACAGATGTGATTTCCCAGCAATGCTCTGCTGATGTCACCTTCCCAGGATGCAACACTAGAGCTCAGGCTACATCACTAATGCCCAAGAGGACCAGGAAGTGGAAAAACAATCATTATAAGTAAAAGGAAAATAGGAAGAGAAATAAAAGAAATAACATAAGATGATTTTATATTGGTATGGTGGGGTGACTTTTAGTGAAAGGGGCTAAAGTTCTGCTTCTTGCTTTTCCTTTTCCTATTGGCAATTAAAAAACATTTAGTGCGATATTTCAGAAACGCCAAAATGTTCCAATTACACTTTCTATTGATTTTAGAGAAACCCGTCAGAGTTCGGTGCAGATAGCAGATGGCACACGAAGACTCATGAAATGTGGAAGCAGTTCCAAGTGCCCCTGGCTGCTTTCGGGCAGTAGAACGCTGCGGGGTATCTGGACCTGTGACACGCAGCTAATCAGAACCCGAATTACAAAATGGGCATTTTATTTTTTAATTTTAATTTTTTTACATTTAATTTTAAAAAAATAATAAAATTTGTCTCGTATTTCCAACAATCAAAGTCGGGAATGAACCGCTCGCCCCTATTTATTTTGCCAGTTTCTATAAAACGTATCCACGTCCTCCGCTATTAAAGGAGAACTATGGGGTCAGGGCTTTTCCCCATAGTTCTCCTTAGGGTAACGGGAGGACACAAACTAGCGTCCTCCCGTTACCCTAAGCTCAGTATATAGGGAGCTGTAGCTCATAGTATACTGAGGCGCCGCACCTGGAGCGGATCCCGACGTAGATGACGGGATCCGCCCAGCTGTGTGAGTGACAGCTGGCTCTGCCTATCTAGAGGCAGAGCCAGCTGTACCCTCCCCCGTCCGTTCCGCCAGTCAGCGCTGGAGGATCGGAGGGGGGAATCCAGCCCTCCCCTGTTACGTCAGAGAGCCGTGACAGGATCGAGAGGCGAGTGAACGCCGGTATATGTTCGCTCACCTCCCGATCTACTGAGCCGACCTGTGACAGTCTCATTGTCACAGGTCGGCTAGAACTATGAGGTGAGTGGAAATCACTCATCTCATAGTTCTCCTTTAAACTAATTACTAATCTCTGGTAACTCTTCATTCTGCGTGCTTGCGTCTCCTATTTTAAATAATGTGTGGCTATATTTGAGGTTTTTTTCGTTTTTTGTTTTTTTTAAAGAACCAATTTTTGCTTTTGCTATTTTATTTCTAAATAAGGGAGACATTTAGACGTTTGCTGCGGTCACATTGTATCTTATCAATCCCATTTTGAGATACGCAGCGATATTTAAATCCTCCATCGCTCTATAAATTATCTTTATCTTATTTATACTTGTTTGCACATGAGATATTATTATTATTTTTGCCCCTTGTACCCGAAAGATCCGAAAGTTCCTGTATTTGAGGGGGTGATGAGAGCCGGGGGGGAGGGGGGCCGTGGGCTGGAAATGTTATGTATTAATTCTTTGCTTCCTCCTCCGCTTTGTGCACATTTCCATGTCTGACATTCAGGGATAATAAAATCTGTTTGTTCAATATGCAAAGTGTGATCTTTTCAATGAATGGGGGGGAATGCTCTCCCCTCCTTTGTTATGCCGTGACCCCTGTCACTCTGACCTCCCGTTCATTCATCCCACGTCACGGGAGAAGGAATCTACGCCGTTAGTATAAATGGAAATGGGCCCGAAATGCTGATTAGGCTCCACTGATCTCTAAGTGTCAATTATCAGAGGTCTTCAAACACTCCTGAATTGCTCATTGTTATGTACGGAGCCCTGCCGTTCCTTTCCCTTTACAAAGTCAATATTTTATGAAGAGATAACTGTGCAAAGAGATGATGTGTATGATGAGCTGGGTGCCGTGCTGGAGATGGAGGGTGATATTGCATGGCTACTATGGAACTCCATTCATCTGTGGACAGCATGGGGAAGGGTTGAGGTGTGTGATATAGATAGATATACAGTGTGTGTGTGTGTGTATATATATATATATTATATTACAATGACACCTGGAAGTGGGGGGGATATAATACAATGACACCTAGAAGTGGGGGGAATATATTAGGTGAAAGTGAACATTTTGTCCCTGAAGTTGATATGTTGGAAGCAGAAACAATGGACAAGTGTGAGGATTTGAGGGACTTTGACAAGGACCAAATTGTGATGTCTAGATGACCGGGTCAGAACAACTCCAACACTGCAGCTCTTGTGGGATGTTCCCGGTCTGCAGTGGTCATGAGTTTGAGGTGATGACTTGGCCTCCAAATTCTCCAGATCTCAATCCAATAGATCATATGTGGGATGTGTTTGAAAAAACAAGTCCAAGGAGGCCGATCACCTCACAACTTACAGGATCTGCTAGTGACGGCTTGGTGCCAGATACCACAGCGTACCTTCAGAGGTCTTGTGGAGTCCATGCATGGATGGGTGTGAGTTGTTTTGGTGGCAAAAAGGGGATCTACTCAATATTAAGCGGGTGGTCATAATGTTATATAAATTATTGCTTTTTGGCCTGTTTTAGAGAGCTTTTCCATCACTTCCTGTCCCAATGACCACTGTCACTAAGACAGGAAGTGAATAAAGAAAACACGAAGCGCGCAGCCCTATCATGCGTCTCCGCAATCCACATTCGGTGCACAGATGACTCTCTTCCAGAGTAATAGGCTCAAAATCGCTAGCGGTTGTGCTTTGTACAGATGCATGTGAATAAAGTTTGAATTTCTTTG